GTGGACAATATTAAAATGGATCTTAGAGAGATAGGATGTGATGGTAAGGATTGATCTGGCTCAGGATAGGGACCAGTGGAGGGCTCTTGTGAACACAGTAATGAACCTTCGGGTTCCATAAAATGCTGGGAAATTCTTGAGTAGCTGCAGAATTGGTGGTTCGTCCAGAAGGACTCAGCTCCATGAGTAAGTAAGTCCCCACAAATCTAAATAGAACCTTGCTGTAGTTTCTTATTTAAGAAACAGGTATAACTTAGGAGATTTAAGCTGAATCTGAGCCAAAGGCTTATACCAAGAGCTACAAAGAAATGTGGCCACTCTGTATAAAATTCAGAATTCCAGTGGTGTAAAGACACTTGTATGAACACTGTTTTCTGGTTTCAGAATTCAAGAACAGAAGCACAAGATGCTAATACAGAGCTCTTGTGAAATCATTGGTCAATTTAAACAGTTCTGCTGAGTGCTACGTTTAAATATTTGAATGTTTTTTGTCAGTTCTCAAAAGATTGTGTTGTTTTCCTCAGTTGCTATTTGGCATTTATTTCCGATAAAAGTCTTACCTGCTTGCACTTTTGTGTCCATCCACCACAAATTGACTTTTGATGCATAAATGCCAAGTCAGGATCATGTCCAGGACCGAGGCTAGCACCAGACCTCTGTGTTTCGAGTAATATCGTATTACTTTGGCCATGCAAGCAGTGTAATTAAATTCAAAGTCAGAATACCAATGCATGATTTTAAACACATGATAAATGAATATAAATGGGAAATTAATTAATTTAATAAAGTATTTCAGTCATCCCATATCAGATATTAAAAAAAATTTGGCATAAATTTTAGTCAGGCACAAAACCATGCCAAATACTTTGAACTTGCACAAGCTTTCATATCTCGATTGGAGCACAATTTCTCCTCATCTTTGAGATGAAGCTTTTGTAGGAACTAATATGGTGAACTCTACATGGGTGATCAGCGTCCAGCCTTTTCTGTATGTTGCAGAAGTTCAACATTTTGGAGATTGCCTCTGTCACCATCAGCCAGGAATGAATTGTGATGCATAATCACTGTTGTTCAGTATTTATTCATTTAAGCTTTCATTAAGGCCCCACCTTCAAGGACAACATTTAATCTATGAAGAATGATTAATGTTGAAGGTAGAGTCCTGATGGATGAATAAATGTATATTTTGACCAACCACATCATTCCCTAATAATGAAGACAGAGGTTGTCTGTAAAATGTTGGACTTTGCTTAAAATTTATGGGTCTGATTGCCAAAGAAGAATCCATCACTTATCTTCCCTTATACTGAAAATTAAGTCATCTTAATATTATTCATATGTGCTTATATACCTTTCATTTCTGTTGCATATTTTAAGATGAGTCTATATCATTGTGTTTCTCCACCGATTTTGAAAGTTAAATGTGTTCCCAAGGTATGTTGATGCTGTCATTGGGAGTGGCATTGCAAGATATACATGTATTTTCTGTGCAATATTCAAATTATTCATTATTCTCCAACAACCATTTCACTACCTTCAGTATGTTCCTGGCTTTGCAGCAACATTTCTGTAATGTCAGATATTTCCAGTAAATTTAAGCAAGTGCTGTGTGGGACGAACTGTGCTGATCCCAGAAGTAAGTGTAATACAGTAATTACTTTCCTAATGGATTTTAACTCAAAATAACCTCTTTTATTTTTATTATTATTTTAATTTTGCATTATATCTAGAGACGTGGAGTGATGGATACACATTCTTTTGTAAAATATTTGCATTGCCCTATGAAAAGTGTTACATATGTAATTATATTGACTATTCAAGCAGGTTTTATGTCTCATTGTAAAATATTAAATATGGGCATATATCAGACACAGCTGTTCAAATATGAATGGTAGAGAAAAAGAAATACATGCTTAGACTAGGTTTGCCAACTGACAAACATAAAAGTTCTGCAGTGAATTTCACTATGGGACTGTGATTTAAAAAAACTGAAATACTTTGACATGCAGTAAATCAGACTGTATTTACAGTGATATTCAGGAGCATTTTCCATGTTAGGTGGGTCCCTTGTCACCACGACATGACATGTCCTCAGGTTGTGGATGGAGGAGATGGCCTCCAGATGTGGAGGGTAGCTGTGAATATATTGAATAAGCAGCCGTGGACAAGGGATGCTCCTCCAGCTTGGGGGTTGGGCGTGAGGCTAACAACTCCTCACCATAAAAAATTAGCTTGTTACAAAATGCCACAAAGGGCCTCAGACCTAGATGGATTCTTTGGATAAATGATCTAAGCTAAAGAAAATGGACATAAGATTTGGGATGTAGAATGTAAGAAGTCTGTGTAGGGCAGGTTCACTCAGGACAGTGGTGAAGAAATATCAAAATATAAGTTGTCAGACACGACTGAGCTTACAGGCAGCAGACTCTTGGACACAGGCATTATTATTACTATTATTATTATTGTTAGAGGGGGTGGGTTTCCCCATGCACTTAGACCAGTTATTGGTCCATTGTGCGTCCCCCTTTAATTTCTACTGTCGCCATACCCTAATGGTACTGGTGCATGCTATCAGCCCTGTTCAGCCAATGAGGTTGGTCCTCAGTACCTGATATTTCCCCCATCTACCAGAGGCATTGGAAACTACTTGGGTGGGAAACTTGTTGCCTAATTTTTCTCAGAGGTCTCCTAGAGACATGAGGATCTTTTACGTGCCGTAAATCTATGACACAGGACCCACAGTTTAAAGTTCGTCCCGGAGGACTTGTTCCCTGAATTTTTCCGCCCTTAAAAATTCCACGACCTCCACCAGGTTTGAACCCGTGTACCTTGAGTCATGAGGTGGGAATGTTACCCCTAGACTATGGAGGCCGCTTTTGACACAGGCATACAAACACTTATTCCCTGATGTGACAAGTGCCTCAATTCTGGCATTGAGTGTGTTGAGAAGTAGCTTGACATGTACGAAGGGGGACCCAAAAATAACCGGAAACGACCTGTTGCGCGCGCATGCTTTGTAGTTACGAGTTGTGCTGCTAGGTGGTGTTAGCTGTGGGTCTCCCACGACTGTTAGTGAGCTGGCGTCAGTCTGAGTTAAGTGGTTTGTCTGTGGTGCTGTGTTGTGTGCGTTCCTGTTTCAACCCTTTGGCGATTAGTGAGATGGCCGACCAGAAGGAACAAAGAGTGTGCGTGAAATTTTGCTTTCTGTTAGGGAAAACTGCAGCCGAGACTGTTGGGATGCTTCGGCAAGCCTTTAATGATGATGCTTTGGGGAAATCACAGGTCTACGAGTGGTTTTCCCGTTTCAAATCTGGCAACATGTCAACAGAAGACATGCCACGCACCGGGCGTCCTTTGACAGGAAGAAATGACGAAAACATTGCCAAAATCAAACGTGCAATTGATGAAGATTGTCGAAAGACCATTGACCAACTTTCTGAGGAAACGAACATCTCATGGAGCACGGTCCAGCGAATTTTAACCGAAGGTTTGCACATGAGACGGGTGTCTGCAAAATTTGTTCCTCGCTTGCTCGGAGATGACCAAAGAGAAAACCGCGTGAATGTTTGCCGCGACTTGAAGAGTGAAGTGCAGAACGATCCAGAATTTCTTAAAAGAATTGTTCCTTCTGGTCGGCCATCTCACTAATCGCCAAAGGGTTGAAACAGGAACGCACACAACAGAGCACCACAGACAAACCACTTAACTCAGACTGATGCCAGCTCACTAACAGTCGCGGGAGAAACCCAGCTAACACCACCTAGCAGCACAACTCGTAACTACAAAGCATGCGCGCGCAACAGGTCGTTTCCGGTTATTTTTGGGTCCCCCCTCGTGTGTACTTTATGTATATAATAAATATTTCATTTCATTGTTTCTTAACAACTCACTAGAGTTTACTATCTGAATAGCACTCAGACTACAGGATGTTACTACATAGTTTCAGTCAGTGTTGCTTAAGCTTTGAAATTAATTCTGAGTAATTAATGTTTTGACCACATAACTTCATTAACTACTTTGTTACTGTTGTTGTTGGTTGCTTTTTCTTTCTTTTGTTTTGTTTTGTTTCATATGCTGTGTGAGGCAGTTCTTATGGTGGGATTGTAAGGTGTATTAAGTGCGGCGCACCTAAGTGGAATGGTTCTGAGATGTACTACTGTGGCATTTAAGTAATGTCTTGAGAATTAAGAGAGGTTTAAAAATGTTTGTTCAATTTCAGGACATTCAGTTTATGATAGTATAGTAATGGACTGTTTGGAACAAAGTTAACCATTATGTTATTTGATACCAGCAGACATGTCAATTGTTTCGGGAATATAGTAGACTAAAGTACCAATCTTTCTGTACCCATTTTGTAATGTTTTTATCATAGCTCTTTGTTAAAAATAAGTTACAATTTTTCTATGTAGAGTATTGTTGGTTTACATTTGTTCAGTGACCTCCTTCGAGTTTGTAGTTCCTCTTTGATGTTTTAATATGTTTGAATGAAATGCAAACGCAATATGTGTATTGCCATTAATCATACTGAAGTTGCAGTTAATTTATTTGATGCAATTTTAAATTGTAACATTGCTAGATTTTACTCCACACAATAGTTAAAAAGGAACTATAATTTATAAATAATTCCCATAGGAATTTGAATTTTAAGTACAGTCACTGTTAAATGCTGCTCCGATTTGTGTAGAACTTGCAGATATTTGAAAATGTCATGGAAAAAAATTAAAGAGATGGTGGAAACCAAAAGGCACACTTTATGTAATTTGATTGTTCTTTGTGTATTTATTATACATATCACAATGATATATGCAGCTTTCAAATGTGAAAATATGCAAAGCGAGAATAACAGGAGTAATAATATTTTATATAGCGGTCCATATGCACATATATGCTTTTACAGGTGTAGTTTAGTTCATTACTTTCAATTGAATTATTAATCCATATTAGGACAAAAGTAAATAAGGAGTTGTTGGGATTAGTTTTTTTTATTGTTATGTTGGCAGACTTCTTCATTCACGGGCCTCACTGTTACATCTATCCAGCAGCAGCCTGCAACTGGGGCCTTGAGCAGCAGCAACACTTCGCTTCCTACAACACTGGCTGCAAGACCTCAAAGCCTACCAGGGCCTGAACACCTGCTCCCTCTTACAATGAATGCTGTAACTACTATTAACAACACTGCAGCACTCACACTATGTAACTTAGACACCAAGCCCTCAGGCACTCCAGATAACCAGATTCGAGAAGATTTTGCAATATTGGCCAAAGACAGTAAGTTATCCTACTGCTTGTTCAAGACTTTAATGTATATTAGAGTCAGGCCTTTATAACTCTGGTTCAAATGGCACTTGAAATTATGTTAATTAATTGATATACTCTTCATATTCATATTCATTCATATTCATATTTATTTGCATTCATACTGTTACAACTGCAACACTTGAACAAGTCAACTCACGAAATACATCATTGTTAAAAGCTCTATAATCCTAGAATGTATTAGACTAAAAATAAAACTGTACTTGCCTTACAGCATCACTAAGAATTTTAAAAATATAACAATAACTACTACAATTCCCTTTTCTTCTCTTTTTTTGTTGATTAAAAAAACCTTGCTATGCTTCCTCATGTCCCTGTTGAAGAAACTCATTCAATGTATAGAAAGGATGATCAAATAAAAATAATTTTAATTTATGTTTAAATTCATTACATCCCTTTGACTTTTTAACTTCCAAAGGAAGTATATTATATAATTTAATGCCCACATTAATAACACTTTTCTTAAAAACTGATGTGTTACATTGTTATACATGAAGATCATCTTTCCTCCTAGTATTATACTCATATAAATCAGTATTTCTTGTAGTGTATATATTATATCTCTTAAAATAACACAACACA